GACTGTGGCCAGTGGGAATTCATCAGAGACACAATCCATGGAGGATCCTTGCAAATGAATGTTGTTAAATGAGTATTAAATGAGTAACGTTCCACAAACTGGGTGTTTATAATTTAGGCTCTGGTACCGAGCCCTCCTTTGGGTTCAGAATTTATTATGTACAATCTTTGGATCACAGAGGCTGGTCTGCCCCTTCCATGTGCGCTTAGCTGACTCTGCACTTTGATGGCTGCTTGTTTTGAGGCAAGTCTTTAAGACCCCAGACACTATTTTTCCTAATGTCCAGGCATCATTCAGATTTCTTCCACACCCTGTGCTATAGCACCAATATCTTCAGTGATCTCCTCATGACATCAAATATCAAGCAGGTCCAGGTCACAAGAACTTATTGTTCTTCTATTAGGGGATCATATGGGAGATCAAACTCTTTTCACATATCTGGTTTCTATAAGCCTCTGGTTCACTTTAGAGATATCATTGTCATTTTATTGGAGTATATCATAAGTCATCCTCATGAGGCATGAGGATAGTATCATTATTTAGGTCAAAGATAGACCTTTTGTTTCTTTATATAACCTGTAACTACATTATCATTGGAATATTTTCCTATTGGGTTGAGTTTTAATCATTATGTAATTAACCTCTTAGACTTTAGTAATATTCCTTTAAAGTTGTTTAACCTTAAACCATCATAATAGTTCCTGCTCTGTTTTGGTTAGCATTTACTTTCTGTTCTTGTCCTCATGTATTAGGAATGTCATTCATGGATTGCACATAACTGGCTATTTAACTTTTTAATCTATTATGTAAAGTTTTCACTCCTTTTACATTTATTGCCATTTTGACATGCTTCAATTTATGTTTACCGCCTGATTCTCTGGCTGCCCTCCTTTTTTTCAGTGTTATTTACTCTTTGCTTACTTTTGGATTGATTAATACTGTTGTTCTTCTCATCATATTTTTCACCTTTGTAGATTTTTAAATGTTTACTCTTATTTCTGTTCTTTTTAAATCATTGCCTTAGGGATTTTAGCATCTGTATTTAATGAAATCCAAAAATAATATCTTTGGAGACC